TCCAAACTCAGATATGACTGACGAAGAATTTTTTTCCTCCAGAAAGAATTTATGGCTTACCCTCTCACTGTTAAGAAACAAATAAGGACCTTATCGACACTGCCTCATAAACAAATCAACCAAATTCCCACTCCAGCATTTGAGGTAGCTGCATCACACTTTTTGTCTATAAACTGTTGAACAAAAATCTCAAGCTAGCCAATTAACATTATGCTTGTCTCTGAAGTTAGATACTTTCAAGAAAAGGAATGTTGTGACAACAGATCATAACTGAACTATCCAGGAAAAAAAGTTAAGGTATAAGATAACTCTACTTAATAATACAAGCACACCCACAGCATTCGCATACACACGGACACACTGCTGTAGAGAACAGCAACAAAGAAACAACGATGTAATTTCCCAAAGCCCTAAAATGGTGCTTTCCTGGTCTTTAATCTTTTCTATAAATAAAAGATAGCTTTTCAGTTTTTTATTTGTAAAGAAAATAAACTTGTTATTATTGAGACTACAATGAAAGACCACCAAGAGACATCATCTAGCACATAGCAGTAATACTAGTTAACCTTTCATGGCCAAAGTTTAAGTCATTTAGTTAGATGATTATTTCAAAGTCACATTACCAAGATTATCTCTAGCCATTTTTATTTCCTTTTTCTTGTCTTAAAGTATTTCAGAGAGATGAAACCCTATTCATTACTGAAGAATAGTTCTAATATAGTCTTTCTGCATAAGGAAACACAACCAGGAGGTTAAATGCCAAAGGTTGGTTTGCACATCCAGCTGGTAAAAAGCAACACCAGCATTGAAATCCTTAGTGGTTTCATATTAAAGCTTTTCTCTTTACATTCAACTACTAGACAAGATAGGTTTTTTTTTTTTTTTCAATAATAGTTTGAGTATTTCTAAAAATTTCCAGTATTAAGATTATTACTAGGTAAGCCAAAAATTACTAATACTCTTAACTCTAAGAATAGTCAGGACAGTGGTTTTAAAATATACTGCAATCCTCTAAACACTATCTAAAATAGCTGATTTCCTTTGTAGGTTTTGTTTTTTGAGACAGGTCTTTTCTGTGTAGTCCTAGCACCATGTAGCTCACATTGGCCTTGAACTCAAGATATAGTTCTGCCTCTGACTCCTGATTGCTAGCATTTAAGGCATGTGCCAACATGTATAGACAATAAAGCTGTTTGATTCTATTTATCCCTAACAACTCAGATCAGTAAGAGCATTTAAGTCATATTTCTGTTTTCAAAGAAGTCAGCATTAACTGTATAGCTTAGTGAGATTTCTGGGAAAACAGAGGTTTCCTTAGTCCCTCCAATACATTTTCCACTCTATCAATCTACAAAAGATTTTTTTTTTTTTTTTTTTTTTTTTTTAAAGACAGGATCTTATTTTGTAGTTTTGGCTAGCCTGAACTCACCATGTAAAGCAGGCAGGGCTTGAATTCACAAAGACCCACCTGCCTTTGTCTCTCTGGAATTAAAGGTGTTCATTACCATGCCACACTCTACTTGAATTTTAAAACACATTTCTTTAATATAGTCCTAAAATACTGTGTCAAAATAGGACAATTTATTTATCACACTAAGTTATGAAACTTACCCCCAAATAAAACTCATTAGTTTGGTGATCTTAAGTGAAATTTTGGTTTCCTCAAAAAATTTCAGGCAAGGTCTTTTTATTCTGTTATTTCAAAATTAAACAAGAGCCAGCTACATGTATCCTAGTAAACTGATAGGCATGTGCCTCTCTCTCAGTCTACTGGATTAAAATACATCTCTATACACACTAGAAAAACCAAATACAACCAACCCTACCTAAGGATCATATTTGTTTGTTGTAAGCCACATGATACAATGGAAATCAGTAGGTCTTTTAACAAAAGCATGCTATTGGGAGGAAAAAAAGAAGAGTGAGTTTATGAATAAAGATTTGTTTCTGTGTTTGGATGAGCAACGTAAGGGAATGACCTCCTGATGATAGCTCGATAAACCCAACAAGAAATACAAAAATGGTACATTTAAAATGAGTCCTAGGAATAAACATTCTCTATACATAAGAGATTATTATAACAGTTGAGACCCAATAAGCAAAACCTTATCTTCAAAAGGAAAGAACAGGGCAATCTATTAAGATGGGGATTTTTTTTTTTAAACATTACAAAAAAACCCAACAAGCAAATTTAGAAATTTCAGGAGCCAAAGAGTACAGGCTGCTTTAATTTATTCCAACGAGTGAATTCTGGAATAAAACAAACAAACACCTCACCTGTCGGTAAAGGAGGAGAAGACTGGTGAGAGAGAGACAGGCAAAGAAGGAAATCCCAGAAGGTTCCCTGCTGCCTGTGAGATGAGGAAAGATAGAAAGGCTTGTGGGAGAGAACCCAGAGACAGAAATTTGAGTAGGTTTCTTAACTATCTCTTAGATGTAACAATATTAATTGGCAAATTGATTTAAAAAAAAAAAAAAAGAAAAACTTATTTAAAAATTTATTTTTACTGGAAGGTCACTGATAAAACTGGCCTGCAGCCATGCACCAGACAGCAGGAAATTAAGGCCCTACAGCACTCTGGTTGTGCACATCTATTGTGTCTACTAATAAAAATTGGATTTTAGCTTATTCAACTATCCAACCCAACTTCTCTACTAAAACCTTCCTCTACCCATAGACAGCTAATCACATAGACAACTGATTCAAACACTGCTTCTGACAATAAGTTTAAACCACAAAGGTATAAATATGCCTTTATCAAATGTTATTTTCAAACAGGAAAAAAAAAGTCAATTTGTACATAAATCTATAATACACATGGAAGAACCATACCTAGAATTAATGTAGGGTTCTCACTCATTCTTACATACATCAAGTTCAAGTTTGTCAAAGACAGAAAAGCTTCAGGAATGCTTTATTATTGTAATATTTTAAGATACGCATTCCTAAGTAACCCAAATTGGCCTTGAGCTCAAGGCTGCACAGCCTTGACCTGCAAAATACTGGAATTGCAGGCATGTTATACAGTGCTCCCAGACCTACTGTTAAAGACATGCTATTCTACTTTCCAAAAATCAAAGAAAACAAACAAGTGGCAGGTAAAAAGCAAAAGCCCTTCTAACTGTCTGTTTAGTCTGCTTAAATGTAAATAATGCCTGAACAGCCATTATGTTACAAGATATAGGCTTTCTTGTAAGTGCAAAAGTATTTCCTCTCTCAATTTTTTCTTAGGGCCCAGATTAGGTTTTACCTTATGTACTGAACTAACAAGTTTATTTTGGCAATACTTAGCTTAAGCACCTTAACTCACCCTTAAATCAGTCCTTTGAAAATGACAAACTCTTTGGAAAACGCTGTTCTGAAGAAAGGGAGGGTTAGCTAGCTGCAGGGTGCCCTCTTGTGGCCCAAAGGAGTGACTGGACTCTCTCTCTGCATCTGAAGAGCACAGCATTGGATGGAGTGAGTCTCATGAATGTCTCTAATCTACTACAGTAAAATAATCTCCAGGAGCAAGCAATTAATTACACATCTTAGCTCTGTTTACTGTCATTTTCTAATATCAAAATTCACACTTGAGTGTGTAATATAGAACACAAAGCTATGTCCACAAGAGATTTTACCAAAGTTTTCTAAAGTTCACCAGGAATACGGGAAACTAAGTATTTTAGATGTCTTAAAATATGTAATGGTATGGTTAACTAGGTGACCCAAAGAAAACCACAGATTAATAGAAAAGATAACATCCATTCAAAATTGTAGAGTACCTATTATGCTAAGCATTCAAAGCTAGCAATTTACAGGAGACAAATACAAAACTATAATCAGTAACATAATGAAAGTATTTATAAAGAACTAAATGAGAAGTCAGATGAGGAAGTAATTAATTCTAATGTAGATAGCAATGGGATACTAGATATTGTGTTTTCAGTCGAGTCTTGCAGGATTTACTAAGCAAATATCTTCAGTGAATAAGAGTTTTGGGAAAGAGTAGTAGTAACAAGCATAGCTAAAGCAAACAGCATACATATATAAAATGGCAGAATAGGATGTATTCTTGAGCACAGTTAATTCTAATTACATAATTTATTACCAAAGTAGTAAAACATTATTTAATCAAGTAATCAAAATCACCTAGACACAAATAAGCACACTAATTACTTACTGGATTTAAGCTACAAAATAAGCAACCAAAATAAATAAATAAAAACTGCCCCTGCACAAGTACATAATAGCAAGTGTTTGTTTTTTTTTAAACCTATACACCTGAAAGTTGTAACTACTATTTCCAAAATCAATGGTTTAAAAAATAAACTTCAATGACTCATAGATTAAAGTGAAACATAAATTTTTAGTATTGGTGGGTTCTTACCTCTCCCATTCCCCGAGATTCTAATGCAAGAGCTTGAAAATCATGATTCATTTCATCCACAGATCAAACCTGGTAAATAAAAATTGAAAATTAGCAGGAATTTAACAAAGTATTAATTACATTGTATAGGAACTAACACTACCACATTCCAAAACACAAAACAGATGATTCTATAAAAACAGGTTTTCCCAAATAAATTACACGAGAGCAAGCTGCATTGAAATAGATGAGTTTTAAAAAAATAATTATGTACTAACAGACCACTACCATATTCTTGTGGAACAGAAGAAAACAAAGTAAAAAAAAACAAGAAAGGCAAAACCGGGCAGTGGTGGTTTAAGCCTTTAATCCCAGCATCGGAGAGGCAGAGGCAGCAGGATCTCTGTGATCTACGAGTTTGAGGCCAACCTGGTCTATAAATTGAGCTCCAGGACAGCCAGGGCTGTTTCACAGAGAAACCCTATCTGGAAAAACAAACAAAAAAAGTTGAGTTCAAGCATTTCTCTTTTTAGTGTTACAATTACTACGATAAAATAGTTTATTTAAGATAGTTAAGATTTTTGAATAATTCTTGCCATGTGAAAAGTTCACCTATGTAAAAATTTTCACTGTAAATATTTAGCAAATTAAGTGCTCTCTTCAACAGCACATATACTAAAATTGGGATGATACAGGTAAGATTAGCACGGCCCCTGTGCAAGAATGACATGCAAAATCGTGAAGTGTTCCATATTTTTTGTGACAGATTTTGATGATGTCCCCTGGGAGACTTCACCCTCCCTGAGGAGTGGATGGGGGTGGTATGGGGAGTTTGGTAGAGAGAATGGGAGGGAGAGGGAACTGGGATTGGTATGTAAAATAAGATTGTTTTTAATTTAAATAAAATTAACTTTTAAAAAAAAATCAACTAAATGGTGATTCATCTACAGTGAAGTAACTACAGTATTTGTTCCTCGAGAAAGCACTTCTCAGCCCTTCCATTCTTAAAAACTGACCACTCTTTCTTATGTGACAATGTGTTATTAGTCCCCTGCCTCCAACTAAGACACTAAAGAAAATAATATAAGGCGTGCAAACTTGAAGACTTTGTCTCCAAACTTAACAGCTTTGAAATTCAACTGGACAAATCTTATTATCCTCTCCCTTCCTCCCTCCCTCTCTTTCTCTCCAGGGATGACACACTGAAAGCACTAACTATATACTCCCTCCTGTAATACTGTTCTCTGTCCTACTCTGTGCCTATATAATTATTTTTGCTTTCCTAGGTTTCTAGTTACTACCTCTTGGATTCCTGTTTTCCCCCCATCTCTATAATCTTAGCATTCCTTGTTTTGTTTTTGTAAGGCACCCTTCTCCACCCCGTAATGTGAACAAACTCTATTCTCCATGCTTTGAGAGCTATCTAGATTAGGTAGATACCACACCCACCAAATTTCTATTTACAAACTAAACCTCTCATTCTCCAAAGCTTCAGTTCCTTTTTATTTCCTTGGATGTACCACAAAGTTTCCATTTTGCCCTCCTTTACTTCCTTTCTTACACCAAGTCCTGTAAAACCAATCTTACCTGCTTCAATCTCTCTAGTTAAGAATTTACCTTTTAAAGATCTGAAACACTGCACTCTTCTCACCTTTCCATTTTGCAATCTAATCTCCAAATTATCTTTCTGAAAACAATCTGGTCATATGACTTCATCCCTAAAGATAAAGCTCAAACTCTTTTTGTGGTTTACAAAGAGATCTTAGCTGGTGAAGAAGCCTGACACCAAGCCTAACAATTGAGTCCAAACCCCTGGATCCAAGGGATGGAAGGAAAGGACTCCCTTGGGCTGTCCTCTGATCTCCACTAAATGGTTGTGGGGAGCTGATGAAGTCCTGAAGTCAGTGTGTATTGCTGACATGGGCAAAGTGATGTCAAAACTCCAATTCCTCAGAACCATGAAAATGGCTAAGCTTCTTTCTGATCCAAGTTTTAGTGTTTATGAACATTGACCAATGTGTACACAAACTAGCCATAACTTCCTCCTTTTGGTTGACTGCTTCCTTATAGAGACGTCCTATGAGGCTAGCTAACCCTTCCTCCTTTGTGCTGTACATAATAAACAGGCTGAATTTCCAGGGTTCTAGATACCCTCCATTAGAATGAACAGAGCCCATGTGATCCCAGATGATTGGTATGTGTAGTTTCTTCATTCCCACATTGCCCAAGCCAGGTATCCAGGACCATGCAGCCAATATTATAATAATAAAACAAATTCTAGTTCAGATATTTGGTAGTTCTAGAACTCTGAACAAACTGATGTCTTTCATCTATGTTCAGACAGTAGTAGTTAGGCAAACATTCAAGACACTTAGCAAAAGAGCTTCAGGGGCTGAAAAGAAGGTCCAGCAGTTTGAGGACCAGAGTTCAGTTCCTGGCACTGCATCAGACAGATCACAACCCTGGCTCCTGGGGCCTCCTGATAGCCCCCGACATGCAATGCTTGAACAAACCCAAAGTAGACAAATTATGAAAATAAAATAACACAGGAATCTAGAGAGCAAATAAGCTTTCTGACTTAGTAGAAACACTAGATTCATTAAGAGTTCTTACTGAGCATTTCATCCAACTCATAGTTCAATAGGCCTTTACTAGACTTACTGAAAAAAATATATAAATAAATTCAAATATGGTCATACTTGTCACTTTAGTGGATCTTGTGTTTCCTAGTAATCAAATCCAAACCTTTCTACTATTAACTCCAGACTAAAGACTATTTGCAGGTAATAGAAAAAAACTGAACAAAGTAACTAGAGAGCCTACGCATAAAAGAAAGATCCAGCAGAGTTTTGTTTTTCCTTCCAGTGGTTTCTTTTGCTTGCTGGTTTTGCTCAAGGGCAAGCAAAATGGGCTTTAAAACTCCTATAGCAAACCTACTATCATAAGCCCTAAAGAACTAAAGAACAATTTGGAGCAGAGCTGTTGTACAACAAGGGAAGGAGGGAGCAAAGCAGGGAGGGGGAGGGCAGGGAAGGGAGTAGAAGGGGAGGGAGTGAGGGAAAGAAGGAAGGACACAAATTCTGCCTTTGAATTAAAATACACATGTAGATGACCATGAAACTACAGGTCTAGAACTGATTCCAAGAAGGCTAATTAAGGATATAAGAATTAAGCAAATTTCTGCTGCTGACCAGAAAAATCATGGGAATTTAGATTTTTAGTTAGAACATTCTCCACAACAGAATCTAATCCTCAACACACTAAGCATAAAGTCTGAAATTCAGAAATGATGTAAAGAGAAAAACCAGTATCAATTAAAGACAAATTCTGAAATCAGGCTGTGCTATCTATGCCTTAAGAAGCTCTGTCGAGACAAGGTTTAGCTGTGCAGCCCTGGCTGGCCTGAACTCAGATCTGCCTGCCTCCCAAGTGCTGAGATCATGCCTAGCTCCACCACAAGCAACTTTTGACTCCACTGAGGCGTTGTGTGCCTAGGTAGAACATGAAAGATACCATCTATCCAGCACCACCCACATGGCAAACTAATCCAGGAATAGAGACTTCCACTCCATACATTTTCCTGGCTTATTAAAACCACATTGGGAAAAATAAAGTCAATAACTTATCAGATACACCAGTCCAAGGCAAGAGTATAACTGCCTTACCTAGACCTGATACAGAGACTAATACCTAGCACTGATATCCCAATGACCTGTGTGGGGTGGGGATGGGATCGAGTTCAACAGCCAGAGAACTCTCCACCTTCCTAGGGGGTTCAGCTTGGTTTGGCTCCTGATGTTGACAAGGTCTGCCATCTGCCCATCAGTCTGGACCTGCCACCAACCTGTCTGTTAATTTACCTAGGCCAATCCTACCCTTAGCTTTCTTAGCAGCTCAGTTCTGACCTTTGCAGCCTGACTGTAACTAGTAGCCAGTAGTTTCTCCAACTGAGGTTATTTGCCTCATCAATAGACCACCCTTAGCATTCCTATCAGGCTCCCAGCTTTAGCCTCCCATGCCTCCTTCCTTGAAACTCTGCCCTTTTAACCTCTGCGGCTATTCCGTAACCCACATATATAAAAATATACACTATGTCATTTGAGAGATTATTTATTTATTATGTATACAGGGTTCCACCTGCATGTATACCTGCAAGTCAGAAGAGGACACCAAATCATATATATGGTTGTGAGCCACCACATGGTTGCTGGGAATTGAACTCAGGACTTCTCGAAAAATAGTCAGTATTCTTAACCACTGAGCCATCTCTCCAGTCCAGTCAACTGAGAGTTAGTGCTAATAAATAAGATTGTAATAAAATAATGTGTCAAGGAGAGCAACTGCTACCATTAAAAGTCATCTGTGTGTACACCTTCCACTCCATTCTCTGTGAATTTACTGTTAAATACTGCCTGATACTGAAAAGACACAAATACGCTTGTCTGTGTTCCCAACAATGTATTCATAACAATTCAACCAACATCAAGCTAAGGGATGACAGAATTATGAGATAAAGTAACTATCAACTGTACAAGATGAAGAAAAAACATGCTCTAGTACATGAATCTAACTGATTAGTGTTAACTTGACAGACTCTAAAAGGGACCTCTGGGAATGCCTATGGGGGACTGATCATCTTGATTGCATTTACTGAAGTGGGACTGACTCTGATTCTAACCTACAGAAAATAGAGCAAGGAAGCTAAGCATAAGAATGTTTTTCCCTATTCCCTGCTTGTGGGTATTATGTGGAATTTATGCTGATGTTTTGACTCCCCTACTATGATGCACTGTACCTTTCACTTTCTCAAGCCAGGGTATGGTGTTGCATACCTTTGATCCCAGCACTTGGTAGACGGAGGCAGGCAGATCTCTGTGAGTTCAAGGCCAGCCTGATTAACACAGTGAGTTCCAGGATAGCCAAGGCTACACTGAGAAACCCTGTTTTGAAAACAAACAACAAAACCCTTTCTCCTTGAAGTTACTTTTGTCAGAGTATTTTATCAAAGAACTAGAAAAGAAACAACAAATATAAAACTACAACAGTTAAAAGAAACTAGAGCTGGGTGTTAGTGGCGCATGCCTTTAGTCCCAGCACTTAGGCAGAGGCAGGTGGATCTCAGTGAGTTTGAAGCCAGCTGGGTCTACAGATGAGGTTCCAGGACAACCTCTAAAGCAATACAGAGAAAAAAAAAAAAAAAACAAAAAACCTAGAAAGACAACCAATGGAAATGCTAAAATGAAAAAATACTTCTTTCAATGTCAATTACTGACAGACAGGATAATAAATGGGCCAATAAAACTTGAAAGAGATAGGTTTTTTTTTTTTTTTTTTTGCTTTCTTGAGACAGGGTTTCTCTGTGAAGCTATCTGGAACTCACTCTCAGACCAGGCTGACCTTGAACCCACCGAGATCCGCCTGCCTTTGCTTCCCAAGTGCTGGGACTAAAGGCATGTGCCACCACTGCCTGGCTGATGCAACACACTTCTAATGTTGTTGTATTTCAGTATGTTTAGGTGCACTACTACTTAAGACACTTGTTCAGTCCTGCTGCACATGGCACAGGTTCACAGTTTGTGGTCATTTAGACTAGAAAAGGATCTCATGTTCGCAGCTGAGTCACCCAGTACACATTTCAGTATTGTATGTCCTGGTGGAATCTGTCACTGAGTGGTGCAGGGTTATCAGTCTTCCTCCATTTTTATTTTATGTTTTACTTTTAAAAAAAACTTACAAAACTATGTATTTGTTTGGGTAG